TTATACCATTTAATGCAATTTTTCGATTACTCAGTTTGGCTACTATTAAAAAGGTGTACCTCTCAAACTTCGATAAAATAAACCGTTTCCGAGATATTCGAGATTACAATAATTGTTATATCGCATTAAAGAACTAGAAGGTATATGATAACAAATTTTTTAACGGTCAGGGCAAAAAGTCCTGAGGCTCATGGAGTGCTCTTTTTGGTTTTTTCAATTAAAAAATAAAATTTGTTATCATATAGGTACCTTTTAATCCTTTTAAATAATGCCATGTTACAATTATTGTAATCTCGAATATCTCGGAAACGGTTTATTTTATCGAAGTTTGAGAGGTACACCTTTTTGATGGTAGCCGAACTGTATAATCTAAAAATTGCATCAAATGTTAACCTCAAAGTTTGTATGGGACAATAAGCTTAAAGCAACCCCCGTTTCTACGACACTGTGTTCACTCAAACAATTATAATTATGTGTGAATATGTGTTTTGGTACTAAGTGACTGTTCGAAAAATATCACCTTTCCAAGACTACCATAGTAGAGGTTATATTAAAAAAACTGATATCATAAGTAACACTTTATCACCCTGTATCTTGGAAACATAAGTAATTAGGAAAAATATTTATTTGGGTTTTCGTCTTATTTTGAATTGCTCAATCTTTTCCTTTAAGTTTAGGGACACCTTGTAGATGGAGCTATAATATCTTTGATGTTCTTCACAGTTTTCGTTTTAATCCCATCGTCACCTGGTGATGCATTGTTATTTAGATCACTTATGATTTTTTTCCGGGGTGATTCCTGGTAGGTAGTTTTGAAGTTTAAAACTTCCAGTGGAGATGTGCAGGATCTACCAACAGACCTCATTACTAAATTATTAAAGTTTAATAGCAAATCGATCATTTTTTTCAACATAACCTCTGAAAATTTTAATATAAATATAGGTACTTTATATAATACCTACATAAATATACTTTACATCATATCCTCTGTGCTTTACATACCTGAGTTGTAACGGTAAATAAAAATCAGACAAAGGAACCAAAGAAAGGAATTATTTTCAACAAAATCAAATGCAGAAATGAGAATAATCAAACTACTTGCATCTATCAAAAGATCAAAACTTCTTGCAATATTACACCCTCTTTTTATACTCTCAGAAATATTGACTAGAATAGTATTAGAGAGACTCCAGTTTCTATAACTTGGTAGAGTAAAGAGAAGTCGAAACCGTTGCGATATTGCATTGCGCTGTTTTTGTATAATTCTCGGGGACATTAACGAAAATCATTGCCAGTAAAATTCGAAAAGCTTGAGTTTCTATGTCTCTGAGGAGAATAGGAATCCGAAGTTGCTGCACCATTGGACTGAACCCTTTTTTAATAATTTCTAGAGACATAAATGACTGCACCATTCGACAGGGTCGAGTTTCTACTCCTCTGTTGAATATAGAAAATCAAAATAATGTATCTTGTAAGACACCATTGAGTTTGACTTTAAATATAGTCGTGCATAGGTATAGAGCCGAAAAATATAAAAACAAAGCACGATTCAATACAGTTATGATAAAACTTTAAGATTTGATATTCAAACGCGGAGTCATCCTATACACTTCTATAATTTTCCGTTTGCTGTGTTTCACAAATTTTATTCATACGGACATCATCCGGATGTCACTGCGTGAGAAACGAAAATCATGTCGTGATTTTTTATGCCATCGCTGTTTGGGATTGACCGATAGCACAAAAAATCATGTCGTGATTTTTTATCCCAACGGTGTTTGGGTAATCATTTTTGCGCTGCGTTCGTACACTAAGAGAAAAATTATGTTGAATCAACGGTTTTTGCGGTAAATTCATTCAATATTTTCTTGGATTTAAATTAACTATATACAGTGTGTATTAAAACGAATAGATACACTTAAATAAAACAAGTGCCAAACCACGCCCACTGTGGTAGGGATTGAATTTGTATCATTGTCGTATGATCTGTGCGCAGTGTTGCCAGCGTCAGTACGTTTGTACGGAATTCAGTACTTAAAAAAAGTAAGCAAGTACCTCGTTGATGGTTTTCGGTACGTTTTCCGGTTTTAGATTTTTTCCCCTTTATTTAAATAAAAATTAAAGAAAAAATTAAAAGTTTAGGTTGGTGATACTGAGTTGATGGTATTTTAAGTTTTAAACTGTTGGTAGCGCGCGTTGTCTACTTAGTGTTGACATAAGGTTTGTTCCAAGTTCGCCAAGAACCGCTCATAGGAATAATAGGAATTATTGAAGCCAAATACCTCAATCTTTGTTAAAAAAGAAAATTAATTATCGATAGGTAGACTATTTTTTAATTTTACCAACAATATTGTTTTTTTGTATAGGTATAATAATAATTATCTATTTTGTTCTTTTGATGTTTATAGTTTATTTATGTGCATGTGTTTATTGATAAATTACAAAATAAAATTACGTTCATATAAGTTTAATATTTATTTCTCAAAGTCAGTACGTTATCTTTCAAATTCAATAAGTTTTTATTGCCATTTCAGTACTTTAATTTTTCTACTACTGGCAACACTGTCTGTGCGTCAGTTTAAGAAATGCACTGAGACTTCTTTGTAAGAATTTAAGTATTTTCTCAAATAAAATGGTTTTTACTCGTGAGGAAAAATACCAAATTATGGTATGGCATCACACTGGTAGATCGTATCGCCAAATACAAACTTTATTTCAAAATATGTTTCAAAATAGGCCTTTACCCAGTGTAGCTACAATCCGCGGCATGCCGCGCTGTTGCCATATGCTATTATTGTTTCCTAAAAGGGTTGTTTTTCTTATTTTTTAATATTAAAAGTAAGAAAATTAACTAAATCAAATTATTTTTGACATAATATTAATTTTTTTGTTATTTTCAAAGTTTCAAACAAATAAAATTGAACTATTTATTAAATAATTATAATCGTACTCTTCTGATTTAAAACAACCTGGCAACTATGGTTCGTAATTACGAATGGCTTGGTTTAAACCACGCCCAATTAAAGTCTGTTTCTTTTCCTCTGATCAGAATATAATTTGTCATCCTTGTCTCCAGCCTTACTTACTTGATTCTATACAGTCTGTATACCTAGTTAATTTAAATCCAAGAAAATATTGAATGTTAAACTGTTGATTCAATTGTTAACATACTTTTTCTTTCAATGTACGAATGTGTCGCAAAAATGAAGATCCAAACACCAATGGCATAAAAAATCATGTCGTGATTTTTTATGACCAAACACACTTAGAGAAGTATGTGCCAAACACCGATGGCATAAAAAATCATGTCGTGATTTTTTATGCCATCGGTGTTTGGATATTTATTTTTGCACCACATTCGTACATTGAGAGAAAAAGTGTACCTACCTACATATATATTGAATCAACTGTTTTTGTGGTTAAATACATTCAATATTTTTTTGTAATAAAATATTAGTTAATTTACATCCAAGAAAATATTAAATGCATTTGACCGCAAAAACTGGTAATTCAATTGTTAACATACTTTTTCTTTTAATGTACGAATGTGGCGCAAAAATAAATATCCAAACATGTCGGTGCACCGATGGCATAAACAATCATGTCGTGATTTTTTATGCCCAAACACCGATAGATAGATTTAGGCCATCGGTCAATCGCAAATAGTGATGGCATAAAAAATCACGACATGATTTTCATTTCTCACGCAGTGACATCCGGATGATGTCTGTATGAATAAAATTTGTGAAAATCACGACGTGACGTTCGTATGAGCGCGCTGTGACTTCCGTATAATATCAGTATGAATAAAATTTATGAAAATCACGACATGATGTTCGTATGAATATCAAGAATGTTGTCCGGGTTCAAGTAAAAAAGATATTCCAATGTTTAACAAAACGTTCAGGTTTTAAATTCGCAGTTCGCAGGGCTCATACGCATGCGCAAATTTTGCAAATATCACACCGTGAGTTCTACATGATATCACTGTGATGAAGCATGTGTATGCACTCAGGATATTACAGCGTGATAAAAAAAATCACGTTGTGATATCATCATGACTTCACCAGGAAATCCCGATTGTTGTCCGGGTATATGCCTTCATAATTGTCATCACCTTTTAAGTTTTTTATTCCTTTCAATACTTAATTCACTTGACATTTGTTCATCATAATCACTTTAATAGGTCCAATTTTGCCTTCAGCTCTCTTTCCTAGTCTAAAGATTTTCTCTATTCCTTGGGCAGTTTCATTCGATGCTGTTAATGTTACCATTTGTTTAACTTTATCTTCATCTTCTTCTATCGAGCCTTCTCTCTGGCCAATGATTATGATGTTTGTTTTCCTGATTTATCTCTCTTGAAGCTCAATCATAATATTATTTACTTGTGATTCTTTTTTTCTTTCCAAACTTTTTACAACCTTCTTTAGATCGTTGATCTCACTTTTTAAGTTTTCATTTTCTTGTTGCTGTAGATCAATCTTCTTTATGAGTTTGGAATTTAAACCACTCACACTCACTCTCACGTGCGTTAGAGTTCCATCTATCTCCTTCAGGTTTCTTAAGTTCTGTTGCATATAAATTAAGTTGTTGATTTATCAGATTTACTCATTTGCTTTGAAACCATCCCTGACATTTATTACAAGCTATCGCATACGTATTTTTCGTAGTAATTTTATACACACCACACAAATCCGCCATTTTAATTTAGATTTTGATTGATGATGATTTTAATCAAGCCAAGCCAAGCCAAGAGAGGTGTTTGTCTTAAGTTTAGTTGACAATACCTTAGCTTGATTTTCTATCAAAGTTTAATACAGTCTAAAAGTGGTTCTCAATTTTCGTTTTAAGTTTGGTAATTAACTAGTGTATGGTATATTTGTCAGAAAAGATAGTGTATACGTTAAATACATATTTTTGACAATAATTTTCATTCATACCCTTGTATGTTTACCAATTTTATTTTGATACTATGTACTATACTATAAATCTATTCTTACCTGTTTTTTATTAGGTAATATTTCAGAAAAACTATTTAAATTGGTCCTGTACAAATCTTGAACTAAGGAGTTGTCCAGCTGAGACTGATTTGTAATTATATTGGAATGAACATTGTGTAATATTTTCTTGCTTATAAAACTGTAAAGAAAAAAATGTAATTAATTTAAAGCAGAATACTAGAAAAGTAGAGTGCTACTAAGGAAAGTTGCCCCTTACGAGTCTTGTAACGAAGGCGTACTGGCAATTTTAAAGTTTAAATTTTAATATCTTAAAATTCAATTAATTAAAAAAATCTTAAAAGAAAAAACAACAAAAAGGAGTCTTATCATTTACTGGCTGTACTAAAAAGTGCGACAAAAGTCGCCATTTGCAAGAGCCAAGTATGAATCATTTTTGGTGATTTATCAAGGACATCCAGGGCCGGCCTTGAGAATGCATAAGACAAGGACACCCTTGTGAAAATTTAATAAGTACAAATAAGAGTTTTACAAGTCTTACTTTCTTTTAAAAACTCTGAATAAGACATTAAGTCGAAAAAAATCAGAATAAGACTTTTAGCAGAGAAATTATAGGTACCTACCCATAGCTTTAAAAATAAATATACAGAATTATTCGTTATAAGGCTTATAACACAGAAGCAATAATTACAATATAGGTAAGCAAAGTTTATTTCAATTTATGAGAATAAAACATTTGAGATATACGTTTGGTTTGTGTACATACAGATAGCTTTAAAAATAAATATACAGAATTATTCGTTATAAGGCTTATAACACAGAAGCAATAATTACAATATAGGTAAGCAAAGTTTATTACAATTTATCAGAATAAAACATTTGAGATATACGTTTGGTTTGTGTACATACAGATAACTTATTGATTACATATGGTGTTATAACTATAACAAGTGTTCGACAGTTGAACTCATAAAAGAAATATAATACGATCTTTGAGCTGTTTTCATGGCTATAGCCAATATATTGTTTAATGTTGCCGGATGAATTCTTGAAAATTCCCGACCAAAAATTACAAAATACCTAATCTTACCTGCAAGAGTAGCAGTTAAAATTTAAAAAATGAATGAAATTAATTTATAATTTTTATATAAGTAAATAAAAATTTTACAGGATAAAAAAAATAATTATGCATATTAAGTATACAGGGTGTCTCAAAAGTCAAGGACTGCAGAAAAGGGGTGTATAGAGGATTGGATTCCAAGTCGAATAGTCTTTGCCGTTTTTGGATCAGACGCACTAATAATTAGTAAGTTAAGTAGCCAATCACCGGTGTTTTAGCAGAATAATTAGAGGAAGTTCTATAATGTGCAGCCTAATCTTATAAATTCTTTATAAAATTGTAGTGTAAAAATGACCTTAATTATATGGTTGACAATGTCAACTTGACATTGTCTCCGGCAGTTTTCAGAGAGACACAGTGGACATGCCTGCTCATAAGCATCCTTAATGAAATCTGTTACTAACTTGGTGAGTAGTTTGAGATCAAAGGTATCCTTTTAGTACAGTCATCTTAGTCAAAAAAAAGGATCAACCTCGGAATCTAACGAAATAAGCTAAATTTTTGTAAAAACTTTTATTTTAGCATTACAAATGTTGTCTCAAAAGTCACATATGCCAACGTGTGAGCGGCCTTAGATATTCAAGGTCAAAGGTCGCAAAAATCAGTTTTTTAAGAATATCTCCTTTTCTCTGCCTCCTATCGTATTTGCATTTATTATAAAAGTTGTAGAGAATAAAATTCTCTACAAATTTTGTTTACAAAATTTTTTTATACGTAGAACCGTTTTTGAGATAGAGGGCGCAGAGTGTGGAGAGCTCAGTCATATGTACCTTTAGCGCAAGGTAAATCGTGATTCCCAATCTATTATACCGTTTTTTTAATTAATTATATAATAAATATTACTAAAATCAAAATTTAATACATTATACTTATATTTATATTTCTTTTAAATCAAATATATTTTATCTTCATATATATCTTATATTTTAATCTAATTTTAATGAAGGATAATTGGATCGGAGTAGGAAAAAATGTTTTAATTTATATCAATAATATTATTATTATTATTATTATTAATCTTTATCTTCTTCATCCTCGTCTTTTTCAGGTTGGCCAGCAATTTCAGACCCATTCTCATCATCACTCTCCTCGTTATCATTGACATTAATTGTCATATCTTCAAAAACTTACTTATAACGCGTTTGTACTTTGCAGATTTTTTTGCCTTTGTTGCCTCATCTGCGACTTCACCACAAAATAAGCATAATATTTTTTTAAACACATATTCCTTTTTTAGGAGTTACAGTTGATGACGTTGAAGTTCCAGTCTCTTCATTGAAGAGTCTTCAAGGCGACGCACACTGGTCCGAATCGACTTATTCTCTGGCCAAAACTCGAAAAGTGAATGTAATAATGTGAAAATTTGTATTTTAGGGTTATTGGGGTCGCTAATTACGAAATTGATATCAAAATTTTTAAATTCAAAATGGCGGACTAAAAATGGCGGACTTTTTTGACAAATAATTGGTTAATCGTAATGAAAATGTTAATTTTTAGGTTTCTGGGGTCGCTTATCACAAATTTGATATCAAAATTATTAAATTCAAAATGGCGCACCAAAAATGGCGGACTTTAAAAAAAAAATATTTAGTTAATTGTCCTAAAAAATGTTAATTTTTAGGTTTTTGGGGTCGCTCATCACGAATTTAATTTTAAAATTATTAAATTAAAAATGGCGGACCAAAAATGGCGGATTTTTTTGAAAAATAATTAGTTAATTGTCCTGAAAATGTTAATTTTTAGGTTTTTGCGGTCGCTTATCACGAATTTGATATCAAAATTATTAAATTTAAAATAGCGGACCAAAAGTGGCGGATTACACCATTTTTGTACCTTCACATACAAATATACTTTTAATAACTGAGAGTTAAATTAATTCTTTTAAATCAATATTTATTTTAATTTAAACTTTTCAAATGTTTAAAAAAAGTAAATTGAATTTATATTTTAAGAAATCAACATTTATTTAAATTTAAACGAGTAAATGCAATTCAGAAATAAAAGTGTAAAGTTTGTTTTTAATATATAAGTTAATAAATTTGCTTTTTCCTTTTAAATAAAGTGAATTATTATTTTTAAAGGTAATAAAAAATTAAATTAATTATTATTTCTTGAATTAAAACATCTTTTTGATGAAAGTAAAAATATTTTTATATGTAGTGCAAAAATTAATAAACCATTTGCATAAATAATTTTTTCTGTATATTTGTTATCCTATTATAAAATCTTAAAAAATAAATTTACTAAGCATCACTGCGTTTAACCGCGACTACTGTCTCAAATCCGGGCACAAACGTGTATATTATTGTTTTATTAATTTTCGCGGAAGTGGCTGCAGCCAATTTTTTAAGAACCTTATAATAGACACTTCAATGAACGTTTCCCCGTAAAAAACGTCTTCCGCAAATGCCCACATTTTAACTTATTCCAAGTAAAAAAAAAACGAAAAAATCGAAAAAAAATTAAAATCAGGCCATTATGTTAGTATAAATTTTAACAACAATAGTAGATTATGTCATAAGGAGTAGAAGTGACTCTTTTTGTGGTGAGTACAGAGATTGACAGCCGAAGCGTAGCTGAGGCTGGCAACTGTACGAAGCACAAAAAGAGCTTCTACTCCAAATAACATATACAATTTTTTTTTCAAGGGCGTAATATAAATAGGATAAGAAATGGAATTATTTTATCTACTCATAACTCATGTGGTATAAAATTTTGGCTAAAAGCATTAGAAATTATTGATAAAAACTAAAAAAACTTATAACCCTTACTTACAATGCCGATAAATATCCTAAACCATAGATAACAAAGCCTAAACTAAAAATAAACACTGCTCTGTCAAAATGCTGCGCTTGAATTAATTTTGACGTACTGACATTTGTTTGGAGTTCCGACATTGGCGACTCGTCTATCATCATAATATTATACTAATAAACTAATTGTTCTTTATTTCGTTCAATTAAAATTTAATAAATAATCCCTAAATATTCCGTGCGATTATAATTAATATAATTAATACATCGTGATTGCTTTGTATGATATGCTAAATTAATTTTATTATTTGACGTCTATTGGGACACCTATGGATTTACTTCTATCCCTAGGCTTTTTTGAGTTTTTTGTCTGCCGCTAATGAAAAAGACGCACTTCAACTATCTCTATACAGGCATATAAGGTTGTATATCATGGCCGCTTGAAAAAAAATAATTTTTTTTTCAAAAATATAATTTTATAAAATTATTGTACATACCTTCAGAAATATTTTCCATTTTGAACTGTTAAAATCGAACAAGTCGTTAACGAAATAATAGCACTTTTGTTGCACAATCAAAATCAACACAATAACTGTTTCCAAGCAATTGCAAAAAAAGGTTAAATAAAACTGCCCTAGGGATCAGGTTGGGCGATTTTATACCTAAACTCTTTGGCTTTTAAATACTTCAAACATTTGTCTACCTGTATGAATTAAAATAATGTCATAATTAATACCTTTATTTTTGGGCTTTTGGCCAAGGTCAAGCACGATTCGGACCAGTGTGCGACGTTTTGCTGCTGCAATTTTATTATAGTAGGCTATAGCGTACAATTTTCGACACTCAATATGATCGTTCACGGAAGTCAAAGTATTTAGGTAGTTTATGTTTATTTCTCTCAATAATTGCTTCTTTTAAAGTCTTTATACCGCGTACAAAAGTCACAGAATCACCTTCAGAAAGTAACTTATTACAAATAAAACACAAATCAGCCATGTTAACCTTTAAAATATTACGAATATTACCTGTCACAACCCTAGACCTATACCTAGGGTCACAAATTGCTTTAAATATAGGTATACCTAACCTTTTTATTTATAGCAAGCCCACTATAGTATTTCCAGGTCTGTTATTTTAAAAGCAATATCTGGATCCAAGAGATGACCAGAGACATATTCAAGGCAAATTCATTTAATGTCTTTTCTTCTTAAAAGGCATTTATCATTAATTATAATATCATTAGAATATATTTAGAATGATTCACTTCATCATTTAATTATTTGTAAGTAATATTTAATGACTATTTGT